TTGATCTAGTGTGCAGCTACCAGGGTCACTGTTGAGGTTACAGTGGGGCCGCAGAATATTTCTCTCTGCAACAGGAAACATCAAGCTGTGATCACGGTGATGCACAAAAATGTCCGGGGGGGGTGTGTCGCTAAACTTTACTTTTCCGTATATTTCTATCTTTATGTATAGCTCATGTATAGCTTTGTTCATATTCTGTAACCTTTGAGTAAGTCTTTTTTTAATACTCTGCGTTTGTCACTCCTGGTTCACTTCCTTGTCCCCGCCATATTCCCCCTTAGTCCATCGAGATATTTGTTGCTTTTGTATGTGTATTATAATTAGAGCTTTTTGTAAAAAAAAAATTTGGGTTCTCTTTTTCTATGCGCTTGTATTCCTTTTTATATTATGTATGCCATACACATACAGACATCGATCATATCATATGCATTTGGTTACTTTTTATGATTTGGAACCTTCTGAATGTTCTGGTTGGGTTCGGCTATGAATAGCCTAAGATACGTCGTATAGTTTTTACTCTAGACTTTTGAAAAGAGCATTGAATTTGTAGACACCTGTAATGAAAATATTATTATTACACAGACAGTGTTGCCCTTGCTGGTATTTATGACAGTGGTAATATCATAATATTTATATCATATACAATATGGAATTTGAAATGGTGACATGTGTAAAGGCGACTGTAACAGTAGTATAAGCTCTTGGGAGCATATTTTCCCATCACCCATAGTAAACATTTGATTGTGTCGCCGTATAGTGATTTCATCGTATTAGTTTGTGTGGTTTTAGATTGCACTTGAATTTTTACTTGTATGGTGCATAGTGTAATGGGAAAAAATGTAAGAAACGTAAGCCAAATAATTGAAGGAGGTCAGAAAAATCAAGGCTCTAAATCACATTTTGCTAAATATTATGGTTTTTAGTGTGATGACAGATGTCAGGGAAGACTCCACAACATAGCATTTGAAAAAAGTGACTGGATGACTTTAAATCAGAGTTGTGGCTTTAATAAATTACCCTAAACTCAGTGGTATGTCATGCTTGATTTTGTCCAAATGTTTTGGGAGGGTTTTTGAATTGTTTTTTTTTAGTTTTTATCGAAACCACCTGAAGATGATTGAGGGTGGTTGATGAGTACCACTGGTAGGTTTCCGTCCCTCTGGGTTTTTTTGTCCATCTTTCTTTTCCTTAGAACATAATTTTGTGTAGGATTAAGGAAATACTTGTAGGGTCAAGATTGTGACTCTGGAGCAGTGCAAGAGGAAAAACTGGTGGCCACCTTTTACATTTATGAAGGTGCTGGTGTAGAATTTGCACTTTTGCTGTGTCAGTTCTTGCTTATGTGGGAGGTAAAACATGCAAGTCTAGGGACTATTTTTCTGTCTCACTCCTCATGTGAGTAGTGTCTTAGAAAAAAATTAACGTTATCTATGGAAATACTAATGTGCAAAACTAATGATGACATTACTAGTTCCAAGGAAATTTTTTTCATTGTGCCTGAAGTGCAAGTGAGTTCAGTGCAACCTAATTTTAGGGATAGTTTTGTCTAAAAACCCAGTGGTTCCATTAC